CCCGATCCCCACTTTGGGAACCCCTTCTTTAGATCCCTGCTGTAGCTGAGCAGGAAATTAAGGCTAGAAATTTTAGAAGGACATTTCTTTAATTACAGAAAGTCCTCCAGGTCCAGAAACAGTAAAGCAGTCCCATACCATGACTCTACCACCACCATGTTTGACTGTCAGTACGGTGTTAGTTTTAGCACAGCTGTGTTATTAAACACACAGCATTCTTAAGGGTATAGCTGTGTCTTAAATGTCCACACATGCTGGAGGAAATATGGAGGCCATCATCGTGACCTCTGACCTTAGCTGAGGCAGTTAGATGTTGTTCTAGGACCTCCTGGATGAGTCATCGTTGTTCTCTTGGAGCAACGTTGGTAGGTCGGCTTGTCCTAGGAAGGTTTTCCAGTGTATCAGATTTTCCTCATGTGTAGATCAAGGTTCTGTGGGATTTAAATCCTTTTCAGTAGCCATCTTTTCTTAACCTCTTAACATCCACCTCATTTTGGGTAAACCTTAGCCTATTTTGCATACCCAAATGGAAAAGCGAATAACTTAGGAACTGTAAGCCCAAATTGCATGTGCAATACATTATTTTAAAGCTAAAACCATATAGTTTCCTAATATAAATTTGGGTGACTAGAACACAGACCAACCTGCATCAATTGGAACATGACTGAAAGTTGGGTTTTTTTTATTCTTGGAAATGATAGGTCTTTTTTGAACAACAGTACTAAAGACATTCTTGAGAAAAGGCAGGTTTTATTGTATTATATTAGTTGTACATTATGTCAACTACAAATGCAGAAATTTCAGAGCTCTAGCTATAACAGTTCCAGAGCTGTGGGGTATGGGACTTTTGGTGTCAGCTTGGAGCTGCGCGCCGACTGGGGTTCAATTTTACCGGTGGAATTTTATGCATTCTGAATTATTACCCCCACTTAAAGGGGAATACCGTTGTTTTTACATTGGCCTCTTGATTTTACGTTATTCCATCATGTTCTACTCACCCATATGAGTTTTGTGTCATTGGCGGCAAATCATTGCAGCTTGGTGGCGGTGGCGTTAGCATAGTAGCATGGACGACGAGATGATTGAAAATGAACACAACGG